CAAAAGAGGGGGAGGCCTTCAAGGAGATGGATTGATACGGTGGCTGCGATGATGGGCTCAAGTATAGCAGGGATTGTGGGGCTGGCGTGGGATCGGGCAGTGTTTTGTTTTGCTGCTCATGGGGTTGCTATGAGTCGGAAACGACTCGACGGCACTTAACAAAAACAACAACAAAACTACTCAGTGACAGTGAATTTTATGTTTTTATTTATTAGTATATGGAGCCCTGATGATACAGTGGTTAAAGCGCTTAGCTGCTAACCAAAAGATCAGCAGTTTAAACTCACCAGCTGCTCTGGAGGAGAAACATGTGACATTCTGCTTTTGGGGGCAGTTCTACCCTGCCCTATAGGGTCTCTAAGAGTCAGAACTGACACGATGGCAACAGGAATGGATTGTGAGTATATTTAAAAAGAAGAACTAAAGATATATACATGAATATAAAAGAATGAAAAATAAATGCACTTCTGCCAATTTTTCCCCTCCCAAAGCACACATCATGAGATGTTACTAGATTAGAGAAATGGTTTTCCTATTTTTCTCTTGTAGCTATTACAGCATTTTATTACCTTCATAGAATAATAGCAATTTTAAAAGATAATGTTGCAATTTTCCTTAAGTGTCTATCATAGCAGTTGTAAATCTTTAGTTGTAAACACATCAAAGACTTTAAAAAAAAAAGGAAAATGAAGCAAGTACCTTTTTTAGCTCCTGGTGGGGCCTCATACATGAAATTAAGGCCATTCTTTACCCGTTCATCTCCCATAAGCAATCTAAATGAAGTAAGACATAAAGTTAACAATTTTATGTAGGAGGAAAAAATTATGGAATAATCTCCCCACATCAAAAACAAACAAGGAAACAAACAAAAAACTCTAAGGGAATGAATAGAAAATATTTTTGTTAAAGTTCTAAAACTTTACTCCACTGACTGGTACCCTCAAGTATAGATGACATTTGAAATATATGAATGGAACTTCAAATATTGCTGCCTTTTCCATGAGCAGTTGTTAAGTTTCAAGACCTCAGGTCCTAAGAGATTCTGGTGCCCTAACAGAGAAGGGAAAAACTGAACAGTCCTTCTCACGTGCTTTCTTAAACTTTACAATGCTGTAGAAATAGTGTCAACCTTGAAATCCTATACACCATCACAAGTTTGGAATTAAGCTAAATTGTGGCAATGTTTTTCTTAATTGATGAGGATTTTTTTTTTTTTTAGGAAGTCAAATCCAATCAACACCTGTAAGAGTCAAAGTAGGAGCTCTGGTAGCGTAGTGCCTAAGGCATTTGACTGCTAACCAGAAGGCTGGCGGTTCAAACCCACCAGCCACTCCTCTGAAGGAAGGTTGGGCAATCTGTTTCCGTACTGATACCGCCTCGGAAACCCAAAGAGGGGTCGCTATGAGTCCAGTCTGACTCGATGGCACATAACAACAAGAGTCAAAGTAAAAGAGAGAATTAAATGCTTTAGTGAGGCCAATGAAGAATAGTTTATATATTTATAAACTATTTATTTATGTGTATAACAGGTCAATTATTATGACAGAATCACTGCTGCCCTCAAAAATCATTTTTTCTCTATATTTTTTTTAATACAGAAAGTTCCATTTTTCAGTTCTGTTTAAGAGA